TCCTAGCTATGGTTTGGGTGCTGGGCAGGGAGGACAGATTGCCAGGGAGGGTCATGTTATAGTCTGGGACTGTTAAGGAATGAAGGTATTGAAATTCTTGGATGTTGGGCAGGGCTTTCCCTTGAGGAGGGACTAGGGATTGTGGAATTAAGCTTTTGAGAGAGCATTCTGCCCTGTCATCAGTTGAATTCCAGCTTCAAAACATCTCAGACAAGTTGATTCCAACAAAACCCTTTTCTGTTTGTTGAAAAGAAAATCAACTGGAAATTTCACATTATGTGGCCCAATAGAGTTGCATAAGAAAAGTCTACTCCAGCATGTTGTATGATATACCTCTGATGGAGGCAACTGAATCTCACTGGCCTACTCTTTGTAGATACTTATCCTATAACCTCAGTATCAGGTACTCAATAACTATTCCAGAAAAATCTATAGGAACATGTTCAAATCACTAGACAATTGGAAAAGTATCCTGCAGTTATCCATGTTGAAGGCATACTTATTATTTCTCTCTCTACATCCAAATAGTAGTCCCTGTGTTTTCCCAATATCTCAGTTAGTTGACATGTAAAGCCACTGTAGAAATAGAAGTCATGAGTAAGTAGTATGGTGTAATGATTATTACTCTTTTCTTGATATTTCTTGTTGCATATTTGGTAGAGAACATGGGCCCCAGAGCCAGCTCATCTGAATTGGTATCCTGTGTTTTCTATAGAGTACTTGTATAATTTTGGGAAACTATTAATCTCATTACAACTTTCTCACTCCTGAATGTCACTGATAATCTTTTCTCCTTTCTTTTTATGTAATTATAGTTATTTTATTTTCTCCTTCTCTATCACCTTTCCAAGACCCCCATATATCTTTTCTTTGTTCTCTTTCTAATTCATAACCTCTTTTTATCATTAATTGCTGTTACATGCATATATATACATACTCATATCTCCTGTTGAGTCTGTATAGTGTTACTTGCATGTATATTTTTAGGGATGAATATTTGTATTGGATAACCAGCATTGCTTAATTGGTTGTAATTCTTTGTGTAGGGCTGAGACCTTGTGATCTCTGTTCACTTTGACATGTCTGCTGTTTGTAGACTTAGGCTCTGTAAAGTAATAATGGTCTGACAATCTCATAAGGATGAGGTTCCTATTATGGCCTTAATCTGCATGCTGGTAGGTTTTCCACACTGTGAACATTGGCATCTGACTGATGATCACTTCAGAATGGAGGATGTCTGTGATCTGCGATAGTTAATGGTCTTTCAAACCCAATTTCAAAAGGAGGGTCTAAGGAGAATTAATCGTAAGAAAAACATGCAGGGATCATATACATCAACTTGCAATCACTTGGACTTAAAAGAATTATTGCCTTTGAAAACAACTAATTTGTACAACCTTTCTAGATGAAATGACTCTCTATAAATTATCTGAAGTGATTTCATGTTAAAAGTCAGACACATCAATATAAGCTCTGAATTTTCATGTCTGTTTAAGTGTCTTTAGTATATGAAACTTTTAAATGAAACTCGTGCAAAGGCATTCCAACTGGCCAGCTTTGTGGACACTTTAAGACAATGTTTCATAATCCCCCCTTCCTCATATTATTTCAAGTATATTTACTTTACATCCAAAAGGTCACAAGGGTCATTGCACGCATCCTGTGCAGACTGGCCATGCTTATTCCAGCTTAGGGGGATCTGGTATCTGAGCTCCTGCGGGTTCACCAAGCACACTGAAAGCAAGCTCCTGTTTGACCTTCAGTCATCAAAGCCTGGGTGTGATAGTCAACACTTCCCTTTCTGCCTCTAGTCCTGTGCTAGAGCTTGCAGAGAGAGTAGGGGGTCTGAGGTATCCAGATACATAGATCATGTGTTATAATTTAATTCATTTGAAAAACTCAGTTCATGGGGGTTGGAAGTGGCTCAGTTAGAAAATCAGTCATTTTTAAGTGTAAAGACCTGAGTATGTGCCTCAGAACCCATATGAAAACCCAAGCACATGGTGAAGTGACAAAGTTCTAGGCCAAAGAGAGCCCCCCATCCCATATCAGTGTCTCAATTGGGATTCTATTGCTGTGATAAAACACTATGATCAAAATTAATGTGGATAGGACAGGGTTTATTTCAACGTACTGTTTACAGTCCATCATCCAGGAAAGGTAGGGCAGGGACCAAAGTAGGAATTTGGATGTCGGGAATTGGTGTACAGGCCATAGAGTGGAGTTTCTTCCTGCTTTATCTCTGTGGCTTGCTCATCCTGCTTTCTTATAGAACCCAGGACCAACTGCCTGTGAATGGGCATACCCCATAATGATCTGGTCCCTTTCACATCAGTCATTAGTCAAGACAGTATGCCACATACTTGCCTGCAGGCCAGTTTTATGGAGGCATTTTTTTCAATTATGACTTCCTCTTCTCAGGTATGTCTATGTTTGTATCTATTTGAGAAAACCAAGGAGCACAGTGAGATCTCTCCAATGCAGATCTGATGCAGTTAAATTGCAGATTAAACATCAACAAACCAAGAAGAGGTAAGACTTTGGTGCAACATAGGGAAAGATGACTCAAAAATCATCACATACACAGGCTGGAACTTGTTGACCCCAGTTAAATTTACTAGTCCAGAGCAAGTCAGAAAAGCTTGGTCTGTGAGGGATTGGAATAGTCTTCTGTAGACCCTTCCAAGTGGGACCTGTGCATCCTTTGGTTGAGCAGAATGTACTGGGCTATGGGAATGAGGTCTTTGGTTCTCCCATTTTGTGTTTTTCTTCTATCCTTCTTCCTTTTCCCAATATCTTCTTTTTTCCTTTCCCTTCTTCCTGCCATTTTTGTCTTCACACAATACATTGAAAATATTTTAATGTGATTCACAATGGTAGAACAGCTCCAGGCTATAGGGCAACTGAACTGGCTTTTAAGTTGGAAATGGCCATTGTGAGGAAATACAAGGCCCCGTGTTCTTGCTTGCTTTGCTTTATTTAGTTACCCCACCCTCGGGGAGCTGCAATAGTTTTTGCTTCAGTTAGTTGGAGATTTGGGCAAAGATCTTAAAGCTATCACAATCTCTTTTCAATCCAAACTTAACTCTTCAGGATGTCTTGGGCTTGCACATTTTTGTTTTGATGTATGTGTGGGAACCCGAGGTTCAGAGACTCTTAAGTGGTTTTTCTGAAGTGACTCAGACTGTTGGTTCTAAAGCCATGATGAGAACCTGTTTGTCCGAGGATTCTGTGGTAGCAGACTTGTGTGGGTCCATACTAAATTCTTCCTTGAGATGTAATTACTGATATTTTCAAGAGAAGATCCCTGAAAAAAATCTTTCTATTGTCATTCTCTGATACATCTTACAGGTTCAAGATGTTCTTTGAAGAAAGAACTCCCTGAACTAAGCAAATCTATGGTTGTGCCCAGGGCTTTCATTACTTTGTGTCCCCTGAAAACTGAGTGGCCCTTTACCAAGAACTTCAATTATTTTCATCAATGGATCTGCCACTGTCTTTTTGCTCATTTTTTTCTGTGTCTTTGGGTACTTAGGCAGAAAGCTTGAGGCTTCAGAGCCAGGAGGCAGGCCTCAACATTCTTTCTCCTCAGTGCTGGAGCTAAGGGCAGGATGCTATTCATTAAGAGGATTTTCTTGGGTCTTACCTTAGGTAGGATTTGTAGCAATTTAGACTGTCTGAGTGTGTCATTCAAAGCAATTTCTTCCTCTGAGAATTCTGAGAGCTTGTCTTAGGAAAGCAACCAAGTCTCCTGTTATCTCAACAGCTGCTGATAATAAGAATTGCTTCTAGAGACCCAGTGCTTCTCAGGCTTGGAAATGAGGGAGGACCAAGAGAGAAACAGCTCAGCTGAGTGATGGAAGCACATAGAACTCTCATAACTACAATTAGGACAGACCGTGTCTTGTCATGAACACAGGCTCTTTGTAGGGAGGATAATGGAAAAGTCCTTAATAAGGAAAAGGCAGTGGGTTCCAAGAGTAGACTTTCCAGGGTACCACAAATCTGACAGCCAGGCCCCATGACCCAAAGGTGTAAAACAGTACAAGGGTTTGAATACATGTGGCTCTGGGTAACATTTCCCATTAAAATGCTAACAAGTGGAAAGAGTTTGAAGAGTATGGTCAAAACAGTAGAGAGGGCTCAGATTTCAAATCCCTTCTCCTCTCCACTGGGCAGGTGAAAACACCAAGAATGACCTACAGACAGACTGCACAAAACTTCTGTCATGGATTTGTGGAGAAAGATGTTCTTTGCCTACTCTATTCATTTCCTACAAAGGGAAATATCTCCATAGGCACTTCATTTCCCAAACTCCTGGTGTGCATAAATGACTTCATGTATTTCAATATACATTCCCCTTACATGTTGAAGTCCTAACCCCTTTAGAACCACTGGATTGGACTGTTGTTGTTGCTGTTTTTTCTCTTTGCTCTTTACCACCCAGCTCCCAAATCATCACACAGAGACGTATTCTTTCTTATGAATGCCCAGCCTTAACTTGGCTTGTTTCTAACCAGATTTTCTTAACTAATGATTCCATCTACCTTTTGCCACTGTCTTTTACCTTTCTCTACTTCTGTATGCCCTTTCTTTGCTTCCTGTTCCATGTCTGGATGTGTGGCCGGGTGGCTGGCCCTTGGCATCCTCCTTCCCTTCTCCTTTTTTCCCTCCTCCTTCTTCTCTTTTTTCTCCTTCCATTTATTCTCTCTGCCTGCCAGCCCTACCTATTCTTTCTCCTGCCTTCAGATCTTTATTAGATCAACCAGGTGTTTTAGGCAAGCAAAGTACAGCACAGCTTCACAGAGTTAAACAAATGCAACATAAAAGAATGCAACACATCTTTGCACCATTAAACAAATATTTCTCCCACAACATAAATGAATGTAGCACATCTTAAATTAATATTCCATAACATTTGACTGTATTTAAAAGAAGTCTTTCAAAAGGTGACTAAGTTAAGAAAATTCCATTAATGTAACCATTTTCCAGTAATTCTGGTGTCCTGATAAAAGGAGAATAGCACAGAGATCCAACTATGTGGAGATGCAGGACAAGATGGCCACCTACAAGCTAAGGGAGAAGACTCAGGATCATAAAAACACATCTTGGTCTTAGACATCCAGACTCCAAGGTTGGTATGTTGTTTAAGCCACACAGACTATGGCCCTCTGTGATGGCATTCCTGCCAGATTGATATTGTGATCTTAGCCTTTCTGGGGGATGTTTAACTACTTGTACATTTAAAAAATTAATTTTGGTTTCAATTAACATATAAGAATTATACAAGTTTAGGGATGTCATATACATGTGTGCTTTGATTGTGCATTAGTGCATTTTATAATAATCTAATCATTTATTAGGTCTGTCAACCATATCAAACATTTCCATTTCCTTTCAGATTTTTTTTCAAATTTACTTTGTATGTGTGTATGCATGTGTATGTGTGTAGGTGTGGTATACATGTGTGTTATGGCATGAGTGTGTCATTAGGAGGACAGATTTTGGTTGGGTCACCATTTTGAGACAGGGTGTCCTATGCTGTTTCTGACACATTGTTGCAGAGCTTCAGGCTGACTCTCTTGTCTCAGCTTCCCGTTTTAGAGTAGGAATACTGGGATCATAGGTGCATGCCATTGCATGAGGCTTCTCATGGAGGTTTAAAGGACCCAACTCAGGTTGCCAGGTTTGCACTCTTAATGGATGAGTATACACACACGAACCTTTAGAACCAGTCTGTCTGTCTGTCTGTCTGTCTGTCTGTCTGTCTGTCTGTCTGTCTCTCTCTCTCTGTCTCTCTCTCTCTCTCTCTCACACACACACACACACACACACACACACACACACAGAGAGAGAGAGAGAGAGAGAGAGAGAGAGAGAGAGAGAGAGAGAGAGAGAGAGAGAGAGAGAAGCAGGTTTATGATGGTTTGGAAAGCACATAGAAATCTTCCTCTATCTCACTCAGCATCTGCAGACTGCAGCCATCATGATGAGGTTGGGTGTAAGCAGCTTTTTGCATGGGAAGAGTTTCCTCCATTACTAAAACTGGAGTGTTTTCCATCAGAACTGCTGTGAGTTTATTCAACCATGTCATTGATACCATGGTTCATATGTGCCAGAAACTAAGTCAGGAAAAATAGTTTCCATTTTTTAAGTCTGAATTTTTTTAAAACCTTACTACATCCTGTGTTGGTTTGGAGACTGATTTCAGTCAGTTGTTTATTCTGTTTCCTTCAGGGATATTGCTGAATCAAAAAAAAAAGGGCTTTATCTTGTTCAGGCAGAAAACTTAGGGTATCTTTATACCAGGCAGAAATATTTTGGGGTGAAGTTGATTTGTGGGAATCATAGATGAGTTCACTCCAGGTAGGAATAAAGCATTTGATTAAACTGCCATTTGTGGCAATCATTAGACTCCCACTGTGCACGCCTGATTGCTTGTGTGCTTAATGCTTGCATCCCACTTGTGATGTGCTGTTTAGAAAAACTTAGAGTGTGGCCTGTTGCTCCTTCATGTATCTTGAGTTTTTCAAACTCCCTGGTTTTGTGATGCTCAGAGACAACAGCGAACACAGTTGCTCATGGGCTAACAGCAATGAAAATATCACTAGGAAGAAGGACAATTACTTAAATAGCATCATCTGTAGCATTAGCTTGAGCAACTGTGGTTATGTAATACATAGTATGTAGATGGCATTTTATTAATTGTCTCCCCATGCTTCCTTGGAATGATGATCCGTGAGCTCTAAATGAGCATGAACATTCACAAAGGAGATCTGCGTCCATAGCCATGTTGCCATGCCAACTATTTCACATTCATCCTTTCAGATGACAACCTTGATTGATTCTTCTGGGAACTTTGGTTACCACGGAAGCTTAAGGCAGGGTATGTATGTATGTATGTATGTATGTATGTATGTATGTATGTATGCATGTATATTTGTCTTGTTATCTTGACAACAACATCTCTCTTCTTTCCTAGGGCAATCCAGACGAATCTTAATGGTAGGTATTATTTCAATGTAGGCTTGTAAATTTTATTATTAGATATTTATCAGAATGAAATAAATGATGCTATTAATTGTTACTCTGATAAATCTTTCTCTTCTGCTGGGATGCTGGCTTCAGGGAACAGAGCCAAGGTTGCCATTGTGAACCACTAGGTGGAGCAGCCGGAGAAAGTATTTGCATCCCGCTTCATAAATAATTGAAGAGATAAATAATGGGCTCTTGATGGGTCTGTGGATAAAGTAATGACTGTTTGCCTTTCCTGACAACTTTGGTAGGGATCTTCGGAATGAAATATCATCTTGACAGCCTCCTATCTGTCTAGGACAAAATCAATTACCTTTCTAGTTAAATGTATTATGAAGAAAACGGCTTGATTTAAACTTAAGCGTGAGTTGTTTAATTTTTCAAGGGAAATTTCAGTGTTTTTAAGGCAAAAATGAAATGAAGACAGCAACAAGAGTATCCATTATTCTTTTCATTTGTTTGGTGAAAGCATCCCACCCCATGAGGCTTCTATAGTTTCTGTGATGTTTGGTGTTAAAACTTGTCATGTTAAATATTGTCTTCTTGGTACTGGAAGCAATGAGAAACTTGATTATATTTATAGTACAAAATAGATGGTCAGTGTACACTCATTAACTAAATATATTTATTAATATAAATGACTGGATCATCTAGTCAGCTACTGTCAAAACACAGCTTCTGCAGGAGCCCCTCATAGAGGAAACACAAGACCCTTGTCTAGAAACAGTCCCTTCCTCATACCTACAAAGTTACCCATTTTGTCTGGGATTACATCTTTGTAGAACTTTAATGATCTGAGCTTTGATTCAAATTTGCACCAACTGTGACTTGTGAGAGCAGGTTTAGCTGTGAGGGCTCCTGGGACTTTCATTTTCCCTTTTCTGGAGGCTGACCACAACAGCTGCACAGGAGCCAACCCTCATTTAGTGAGCACATCAGGAGAGGGTATGACCTGTCGGGCAGCATTTGGGCAAGCATAGCAGCACCCATCCCTTGATCTAGTCATTCCAATCCACCATACTCATACACAGAGTCAAAAGTATGCTTTACTGATTTCAAAACTGTAGACTTATGTGTAAAAATAGAAGTCTAGAAGCAACCTAAATGTCTGCCATTCAGATATTGGGTATGAGGGTGGTATCTATCCATTGCAATAGACATGATGTTGGAGTTCAGACAGATGCCCATGACTCATTCACATCTACTGATATTTCAATGTTCAGGATCCATTAAGTGAAAATTACAAGATATTATTTGTGGTATGCCACCATCTGTATTAAAAGTAAAGGCTTGTTGTTTTTTTTGAGGGGGGGTGTCTTTTAGACAGGGTTTCTCTGTGGCTTTGGAGGCTGTCCTGGAACTAGCTCTTGTAGACCAGGCTGGTCTGGAACTCCCAAAGATCCGCCTGTCTCTGCCTCCCAAGTTCTGGGATTAAAGGCATGCACCACCACTGCCCGGCAGTAAAGGCTTGTTAATGATATAGACATAGAGATGTGAGTATAACTGGACAGCAGAGAGAACTTTGAAAAATACAGAAGAAATGCTATCAAGAAATAGGGCAAAGGTACAGGGGTGAGACATGCTTTCTTTGATTATTTTGTGTTCTTCTGTAGTTTGTCAACACTGTGCATGTGTGTGTGTGCATGTGCATACACATGTGTGTGAATGTGTGTGTATGTGTCAAGTGTGTATGCATGTATGTGTATGTGTGTTTCACATGTGTGTGCAGGTGGTTGTACATGTATGTGCTTAAGTCAAAGGTTGATTTTTTTTTCTATCACTCCACCTTATTTATCAAGACAAGGTCTCTCATTGATCCTATAGCTAATTAATTCAGCCAGGGTGGCTAGCTAGTAGCCTTCTCTGACCCTATCCCTTATGTCTCCCCTATTCAGTGCTGGGGCTATGGATGTATGAGGCTTTTACATGATTCTGGGATCAGAGATCAGGACTTCATGCTTCTCCAGCAAGCACTATACATATTGAGCTATGTCCCTAGGCCCTGTTTGACTAGTTTTCAAAAGGAAATCTTACATACACAGTGCATTATTTTTAAAAGACAAAGAAAAACAGGATTGCTCCTCTAGGTGACCACGTGGAACCCATGAATCCCAATGAGTGATTTGTGAGCTTTCTCTAGTCAGATGAGCAGCTGCTACCCTTTCTCTGTGATGTAGATGCACAGAGAAGCTCAGTTTGAAATAATTTATACAGAAGAGCTAGGAAAGCTCTGCGCCCAATGCTCTGTGGCATCTGCCCCCCTCTTCCGGCAGGTGTCTGTACCCACCTCTGTGTGTTCATTGTGTGAGCTTCATGCAGGGCTGTTATAGCATTACTACAGGACGGAAGCCTCATGGGTCCAAGAATCAGTTTCTGGTGCTCTCTGGAGCCTTCTTTGGAATAGACTGAAGGAGGCAATGTGATGGGTGCTTCCTGCCACTTCTCCACTGACTTCATTATTCCTTGACTCAAGGCCCTGCTGCAATATTGTGTGAGGAACACAGGAAGCTGTCCACTCTTCCAAGATTGTAGTGGTTGTCACTGAAACACAGCTGGTGCTCCTAGCTGCCATTCAACTGCTTGCCACTCCTGTGCGTCTGAGTGGACCTATGCCCTGCAAAGACATGGCCTTGGAAGTCTACGGTTCATGACATCAGATGTGGCACAATGTTCAACTTAGAATACTCTCCTAATTGGACCATTAACTACACAATAAACACATAAATGAAGTAAGTGATATAATTACACTCAGTATTTTAACTTAATTGTAATAGCTACAATCATTTCTCCACATCCCATTTCTTTTTCTATTTTCTCCCAAACCTGCAGCTCAAATATGCTATGGGTCCAAGACATCTTTGGTCTGATGATGGAGATGTATTCTGTGAGTAATTCCACTTACAAATTCAAAATGCTGCCTCTCCAGTGAACCTCTGCATAGTCTACTGTCCTAACCTGTACAGTCTGTGAGGGAGGGTGTGCTTTGTTCATGGGAGACATTCATCAGTATACACAGAGTAAGGGAGACTGAATTTGACAGCCTCCAAAGCTGGAATCATGCATTTTTATGGAGTGGATAGGGCTAAAGAATCCTTGACTTGTCAAAGATGATATTTCTGATAAACTACAATTTGAAGCTATGGAATTCAGTTGCGAACTTTCTGGGGGAATGGTCATTCATTACACTTCCTGTAACTTCTTGCTTCTTGCTTCCCACCATCAAGTCAACAAAACCAAGCTATCTATCTTTGTATAATTCACTTCATCTCCCCACCCTGCTGCAGCTCTATTAATACTAGTTTGTTCCAGTAAACTTGTTGCTGACACCTGGATGTCCCAGAGTGGGGAAAGGGAACAGGGCTGCCGGGGGTTGGGTTGGCCCAGTTTTCAGGAGCTTATGATGTTTGACATTGTTTTCATGAAAGTTGTAGAGAGTTCAGCTCAGTGTTTAGCTGTGGGTGTCTGCTTCTGCTTCCCTCAGCTACTGGATGAAGGATCAAGGATGGCATATAAGGTAGTCATTAATCTCTTTATCAGGGAAGGGCATTTAAGGTAGCTTCTCCACTATTGCTTAGATTCTTAGTTAGGGTTGTCCTTGTAGATCTCTGGACATTTCCCTAGTGCCGAATTTCTCTTTAAGCTGTATAATGGTTCCCTCTATTATGGTATCTCTTTTCATGCTCTCCTCTATTCTTCCCCCGACTCAACCTTCCTGCTTCTTCATGTCCTCCTCTTCCCTCCTCTTCTCCCCTTCTCTTTCTCGTAACTCCCTCTCCTCTCCCCCCCATACTCCCAATTTTCTCAGGAGATCTTGTCCCTTTCCCTTTCTCTGGGGTACCATGTATGTCTCTCTTAGGGTCCTCCTTGTTTCCTAGATTCTCTGGTGGATGGATTATAGGCTGGTAATCCTGTGCTCTATGTCTAAAATCCACGAGCTGAACCACTGGAATCCAGTTGCAGAGAGGGAGGAGTGATGAACAAAGGGGTCAGATCAGATTGGAGAAACCCACAGAAACAGCTGACCTGAACAAGGGGGAGCTCATGGACCCCAGACTGATGGGTGGGAAACCAGCATAGGACCGACGCAGACCCCTGAACATGGGTGTCAGTTAGGAGGCCTGGGCAATCTATGGGGCCTCTGGCAGTGGATCAGTATTTATCCCTAGTGTATGAATGGACTTTGGGAGCCCAGTCCACATAGAGGGATACTTTCTCAGTCTAGACACAAGGAGGAGGGCCTAGGCCCTGCTCCAAATGATATGACAAATTTTGGAGATTCCCCCCAGGCAAGGCCTCACTCTCCCTGGGGAGCAGAAAGGGGGTGGGATAGGAGGTTGGGGGGGGCAGGGGAGGAGGCAAGGGAGAGGGAACAGGGATTGAGATATAAAACAAGCTTGTTTCTAATTTAAATAAAAAAGGAGAAAAAGAAAGAAAAGTAAAAAAATTAAGTGATGGGGATGTAAAAAAAAAGTGGTAGAGAAATTATCAACAAGGGGAATTATGCGTTGGCTGGAGAATATCAGAGCCAGCTGGGTTTGTGTTTAGGGACAGGGTCTTATGGTGAAAGTCTGTCTCGGATGCTTTAACAACTAAAAAATTAATTGATTTATTTTTATCACAATTATTTGGCTCTGGACAGGTTGTATGGATTCTTTTTAAAGAAGCCATTCTTCCTTACAATGTAGTGTGTGGTTTTAGATGCTTTAGGAGAATGTGAAAGGGCCACAGTGACTTGCATGTGCTCCTGATGCCAAGAAGGAGACTGGGTCCGTTGTTTTATCCTAGAGTCAAATCCTTCCTACCTGGTAGGCATGGCTAACTCATCTCCAGCTACAAGTATTCTATCTTTCTACCTCCATGTTCTTCATCTTGCATTTCGAACCCCACATTTCACATTCATTTTAACTGATTCATTTGTTTCTAATGTAATGATCAGACTATGATGTCGCTAACTTTCTCAACAGGATAAAGCTTTGACAGAATCTTAGCTGAACAGACTACTAGTGGAAGGAAGTAGCACTGGTGGCTTGCCTTGGCAGGGCATTGTTGGTTGCTTTTGGTGTTTGGGATAGGGTATTTTGTATGACCCTAGCCGACCTTGCACTTGTTTTCCTCTTGTGTCAGCTTCATTTGTTAGAGCACAAACAAAATACCACCACACTGTAGGGCTTTGGTTGTATTTGCGGTGCATGTCTACTGTCATTCAAGATTCTAGACCCCTCATTGGTTCATAAAAATTATCACTGGGCTATGATTGTCATTATCAAATTTACATGCTTGGGGTCTTTTCAAATAGCTGTGTGAGAGCCACAGGGACCAACTACATCCATCCTCCTCTGATTGCTCATGGGAAAGGGAATGGAGAACTGGTGTATCTGTTTCTTCTTCTTCTGCAAGCTGTTCTTCATAGTCTGCCTTTTCTCTGTCACCCTCTGCAGTCTGGTTATCACTGTGAGCATGTCACAGAGCTGTGTGGTTTTGCTCTTTGCAGTCACTTTCTCTCAGTGGAGGCTGTGTATTTTCTGTACTCTCTAAGATTAGCTTCTCTTCAATAACTTTCATGTTATAATTATCAGAATATAAGAATGCGAGAATAAGAAAAATTTGTCAAGATTGCTGCATCTTAACTGGCTCTCTTACCATGCTATAGCAGCATCTAGTTAGAAGAGACATTCAGTGTTTGGGTTACCCCATAGTTTCATATGGGACTTGTGATATGGTGCTTACTATTTTGTTATCAGTATTGTTTTGAATCTGTATTCCAGAAATTCCTAAATATTGTTTCTCTTCTCTTTTTCAGAAGTGTCATCATTTAGTTAGACTCCGTGACATATAGTTTAGAGTCTCCTGGTATGTCAAAGAAATACATATGACACCCACTTATATTTGGAGATGAGATCGGGCACATTCAGGGTGGTATGGATGTAGACTACCCACTTATATTTGAGTTTCAGAGAAACAGTAAATAATATCCCCAAACCTGAAATCCATTTCTTCTGGTGCCAATCTACCTCTGGTGCCAATTGCCACACAGGTGTCATTGGATGAGACACTTCCTCTAGGCTAAAGCATATCTTTACTACAAGAAAGCCATTTTCTCTATTGTCCAGTCTGCAAGATTCACAAGCCATCCTTGTTTTTCTCAGGACCCCTTGAAGATGCACCTCTACTCTTAATTGTGAAACTTGATATGATGCTCTTGTTGAAAATTTTCATGATATATACTTGTTACTCTTGTTTTCCCCTTGTTGAGGACATTTTCTATGTTCCTGAAAAATAAACGATGGGTTGAGGAATTAAGGCAAACAAGAAAGAAAGGTGGATTTGATTTCAAATCCCTTCTTGATAATGTTGGGGAAAACATTCTTTATTTCCTCTTAAAAATAATCTAATTTATCTCTCTGCTTCTACAGCTTACTCGAAGTAAACATCTTTTGTAATTAATTAAGCTGATTCAGTGCCACTTCAGAATTTGAATAATCACAGTTCTTACATTTCTGTTTGTACCCTAAAAGCAATAGAAATTATTGCTTAACTGGCCTTCCAAAATACCTCAAAGTTTAAGCTACTGTTTAAAATGGCCAAGGGATAGGGTTATTTCTCTGCTGGACTGAGGAATCAGTACTTGCGAAGAATCTCAATTTATGTGTGAGGGCTTGTTGGGAAACCAGACCCTCGTGCCCTGGACTGACCAGTCTTTAATAATGGGAACAGGAGGAGCAGCAAAGGCCGAGGAGACCATGGGATACACAGTCTGTGCTCTGAGGCTAGTGCCACAAGACTTGACAAGTCATGGGAGCACCAGCTACCCAGCTCACAGGTGTGTGCTTTCCTCCAACAGGACCCTTGACTCCTGCTCCTGACCTTTGCCTTTCTGTAGGGTAGCTTGTACTTAGTGGTTCTGAGTACTTTTTGATTTTATCTTTGTATAATTTCATATTGTTACAATTTATTCATCTTCAAAAGCCCTCACCAGTTTTCAACAAATACCTTTGGGAAAATTAAATATTTGTGTGTACTTGAATGGAACTAGACCTTTTCTTACACCACATACAGAAAGTCACTTAAAATAGACTGAAAATCAAAGCTAAAAAACATATTGAAAGTGTAACATTCCTAGAAGGAAACATGGGAACAAACAGTATTACAGCAAATGATGAAGCTTCTACAGAGCAAAGGAAACAGCCAACAGAATGAAAGTACAGCCTATGGGAGAAAACTTTTGCAAATAAAAACTTACGTGGATTAATAATTGATAACTCAATAGCAGAACTAAAAACAACAGTAAACCTTGGAAACACAAAAAGACTCAAATTCCTTAAAGTGTAAAACAACAAACTACAAAGAAAAATCTTGCTTAAAAATATGTGAGGGACTTCATAGGCATGTATTCAATGAAACTTGAAAATAACTAATCTGTATATGAAAATTTTGTTAGTGCTACTGATCACCAGGAAAATGCAAGTCAGATTCGCAGTAAGGTGTGCCCTTGAAGTCCAGTGCTTGTTAGCAATGCTATCTATTATCCCAATATATCAATAACAGCACCGTGGCAAACCAGCATTGCCCTCCAAAAAACCCTCAAACAACAATAAAAACAAACACAAATGTTTCTAAGGATGTGGAGAAATAGGAATCCTTTCTGTACACCATTGATAGTACTAAAATACTACAGATACTATGGGAAATAGTATGGATGTTTCTCAGAACTCCAATAGTGCCACTTTTGTGTGTGTAGGTCCTATGATTGATCTCAATTGTCTGAAGAGATCTAGAAATTCCTGAGAGACAGTCCTCTGGGCATGCCAGTGGGAGGTTATATTGATTAGGTTAAATGATCTAGAAAGATTCATACATTGTGGGTGGCACCATTCCCTGGGATAG